CTGAAGCTCCTTGCGTCCCTGTATTCACGTTGGTCATAACCTGAAAAAATCTTTCTAACAATTTTCATTGCCAACGAAAGCTCAGACAAATCAGTGTAGTTCAACGCCCTGTAGGGGTATTTGCCCTTGGAGTAGTTGTTTCTGACTGGTCAACGAAGTTCAATCTTCAAGATGCCTGTCAGACAGTCCAAGGCCAGCAGTCAACGTGTCAAGATTAGACCGTGGATGACGGATGAAATTCTTGATATAATGGAAGAATGGCGACGTGCAAAACTATCTCAAAGAGTCTGAAAGGTATACTGAACTATATCGGAAAATAAAACGGAAATGTAAAGAAGCCAGAGAACAATGAATCATTGCAGAATATGAGGAGGCTGAGAAACTCCATGAGCTACATGATTCAGTCAACTCATCGAAAGATAAAGCAAATAACTGGCCCTATCAAAGAATCATCAATCCCATCTCTTAGAAATGAAAATGGAGCACTCATTCTTAATCCAGATGACCTGCGCAATAAATGGAAACAGTACGCGGAAACACTTTTTCATGATCAGCGCAACTTGCAAGACCTCTCCAGCTCAGCAGAACAACTAACTGCGCCAGACATACTGGAGAGTGTAGTTCAACAAGTTATCAGGAACATGGAAAATCGAAAAAGCCCTGGTCATAACAATGTACATGCTGAGGTTCTGAAGACGCTCGATACAAAAATCCTGACATATCTATGCAACAAAATCTATGAGACAGGTAAACTGGTATCAGATTGGCTCAAGTCTACCTTTGTACCCATCCCTAAAAAAGTACCCCGAGAAACTGTGGAGACTATAGGCTGATAAGTCTAATGAGTAACGCTCTTAAAGTCTTTCTCCGAGTTATCCATGCCTGAATATAGGTAGGGTGTCCCACCCAAAACTGTCAATGGCCTATATCTTTAAAACGGTTATCGATTAAAAAAATCTTGATTATTTGTTCAAAATTCTTCATGATGTCATTTATTTTGTATGAAATCGATTTTAACAAGGCCCGGGTAGAAAGCAACACTCGCGGCTTCGGAACATAAGGGACTGGTACGGAATAAGAGATGCCGCCACAATATTCCGCCAAGCAGAAGATGGCACCCTCCAAATGACACAAGTATACGACTAAGGATCGCTAACGTGCGCATTTGCACAGGGCACAAGAAGAAGAAGAAGAAGAAGAAAAATCCATCAGGATTGGATCAGGGCTTAACTAAACACTTTTCATAAGTCTGCTTTCCTAGAACATAACTTTACATATAGACAAGGTAATATTGAGTTATAAAGTCAATGTTCAGTATTGCAAAAGGCCAAGAAATACTTGCAAGGGACATGTCTAACGCCCCAAGAAGGAAGTATCATACATATAAATGGAGAATCTAATTTGTTTTGGGTTAAGCCTGGAAATCTTGTACACCAACTAGTGGCAGAGAGAGTAATTTTGCTTGTATAAAATGTCAGAGTTGGAAAGACACATCATGTAGTCTCACATACACTATAGTCACAAAATAATATTTCTTATCTGACAATAATAACTCAGTTTTGTGCTGAAAGATCGGTGGAACGATTTTTTTGGGCCTTAAAGCTTCCCAAATTTTCTTTTCCAATATGGCCTTTTCTAACAAGATCCGTGCTGTTAAAAAACACGCACTCTAAATTCAATAGACAGCACGTATAAAGCTCAAAGGAAATCTAATAGGACGACCTTTCAGATGTGTACACGTTATTTCTTTGTGTTGTAACAATGTTTAAAAAAAAAATTGCCTAACGATGTGTTTGTTTCCACTAAGACTTTTTTCTTGAGGGGATGGTAAATATTTTAGGGTTAGATAATATTAGAAAAACTAGTATAAGAGATATCACACAACTTTTCTGATTTTCAATTCAGATTCGAATTTCCAATTTAATATTATCTCCATAATAATAATAATTTTCTAAATAAAATCCCGAAATTCCCAACTTGCATATATCTTCACAAAATATCCACCATGCATCAATAACTTATATAAAAACTCTTATTGAACAAAATCGTATCTTCTCTCGTCTATTCTAAATTTTCTTTAGCTTTGGCTGCTCCATATTTCTAGAGACGCATTTTTGAGGCAACCCAATATAATATTGGAAACGAAAAATTGCACACGTAAATTGAAATTCGAATGTGAATAAATGAATAATATACCGACGGGCTATATATTTCCCGTATATGGAAAATGGATGCTTACTGTGGTTTTCGTTACGCGAACTCTTTTTAAATTTAATTTAATTAAAGAGTTTTGCAACACGCAAAAACTTGGATTCTCTATTAACCTTTATCTCCAAGTTGGTAGTTCAACACCAAGTCACAATCGAATTAGTCCGTTAAAATAGCACAGAAAACATATGAGGCGAAAAATGAGAAAAACCCAAAACTTTTTCATTCAATTTTTCTTTTGCAGCGTACGAAAGAGATCGAAAATGAGATAAAGTCGTTGGAAAGTTTTGTTTTTGCACGTTCTTTATAAAAAGGGTCTTTTAAATTCTGAAGACACTATGCCGGACGTGTACGTAGCACAAAGGAACTTTGACGCAAAGACTTTCCGTTTCTTTGGAAGACGCAATTATTGTTTTTATATATATAGTGATGTGTTCGAGAAACTTCATTGCATCGTAACGACATTAGAATTATAAAATGATGTAAACAGGAATTTTATCGAACGAGATAAATATACATAAACTTGCGCATTTAAATCTGCTTAAAAGGTTTTCCTCAAAGATGGGATGAGAACAAAAGAAAATTTCCTTTTGTCCCGAAGCTCAAGAATGTTGCACACCGACTTTCTGTATTGGTGAACTTTGAAATGGAAGCTGCTTTGTCTGCGGTGGGGAATTAAAAGAAAATAAAAGCGATTTTGCCTTTAAGTTTTATTCCTTGGGTAGAGAATTTTTTTGTATAAAGTTTAAATTAATTAAATGTAAGTTGAAAGTAAATAATTTTTTCGTCTAAAAGCCTCGAAGGTTACGATGTTCATTATTATTTTAAATAAATAAGTGGGAGCCATATTTGAAAAGATTATGATATATGAATAGTAGAAAGCTTCTGATAACTCTGCCGGAAAAAGTGGTTGGTTGACCACAATAAATATCACATTATACCTTAAATCCGTTACGTGTGTTTTTCCATTAACAGTAATGAGTCGGGTGAAATTCTAAAATTAATTTGAGAGTCTAAAAACACTTAACTTATGGGCAAATGCCGGACTAGCTTATTCAGCGTGGAGTGGTCGTGGGTTAATAAAAAAAAATGCGCCACCCGCTTTAGAAGCCCTTTAGAAAGATATGTGTTTGCTGAAAAAATAAAACCCTTCTCCAGAAATGAAACTTCAAATGTTCAACGACTTGAGACAAAGCTACTACTTTTATTATACCAATTATTAATACTGGATTCTGTCAATAGACAAGAGCTGCAGAGTAGTTCTGGAACAATATCTTATAGGTGCTTGACTTGGGCTCTACTCAGAAAACAATTTAAATAACAGCCAAGATTCACAAAATATTAAGCACTATGTATTTAAAATATGATTGATTTAAGTTAATTAAGTTTGCAAAAGAAAATCAACTGGAAATGCATGAATATGCATTGCTTTCAAGCTTACCGTGAAAAGTGCTAATTATCTTTCAGTCTCAGTCCCAAAAATTAACGCATAATAGTCGATTAACCATTCCAAAATATTACCCGTAGTGACAGTTCTAATCAGAAAGAATAAGACAAATTTACTGAAAACATCACACACAGAAAGAACGTAGGAATAACCGGAAGAAGATCGAGGCAGAGGTCCTACTAAGTCGATACTAGTCGGTTGTCCGGGTCGCGAAAGTTGAGGCTGAACACTTAGCATTTGTCCTGTCGAAGCCTGTTGATTTGGTTTGGTTTTCGAACCACACTTCAATAGCCACTGTGCAGCGTATGTTAGGCCAATAATACTGCTCAGAAAGACGTGCTATCATCTTATACACACCCAGATGTCCGCAGTCTGGGGGGTCACGCCCACAACGTGATCTATCAAACGCTGCAACATAGCCGGTGCATCAGTAAGGCCAAAAGGCATACGTCGAAATTGAAATAGACCCCTATTAGGTACAGTAAAAGCCGTTAAGGGTCTAGAAGACTAAGAAACTGGAATCTGCCAATATGCAGATGTTCATTCTCAGTGAGAGAGGGGCTAAGGTAACATATTACTTGTTCCTGGTAATCGATAACTTGCGAAAGTACGGCGCCTAGGCCAAAGTCACTAGCATCTGTCTGAATAGTAAAGAGAACATTGAAATCGGGACAAGATAGAACAGGAGCTCTAATCAAATGCTCTTTGATACTCTTAAACGCTTGTTCACACTGAGCCGACCATACAAACTTTACATTCTTACGAGTAAAGGAAGTCAACGGAGCAATCAAAGTACTAAAGTTAGGTACAAAGCGGCGGTACCATAAAGCCAACCCGACAACTCTTCTCACCTCAGTGACGGGTTTAGGAGGGGGGATATTGATTATAGCCTGAATCTTTCCAGGATCAACCAATAATCCAGAAGAATTAACTACATACCCCAAATACTTAAGTTCGCTTTTGCAAAAATTACATTTTTCACGGTTAAGAGTTAGTCCTGCTTTTCTAATACGATTTAGTATTGAAATGTGTTTCTCGAAAGTCGGAGTACAAATAATCACGTCGTTCAAGTACACAAATACATGTTGTTCAAGATCCACGCCCACAACGCGATCTATCGAACGCTGTCACACAGCTGGTGCATTAGTGAGGCAAAAAGGCATACGTCGAAATTGAAATAGACCCCTATCTTGGCGGGAGTAACTATGACTCTCTTGGCAAAAGTTTGAGGTGTCGGAGCCTGCTCTAGTATACGAGTTTAGCCCTGAGACTTTCTCTTGGCAAATGTTTCAGGTGTCGGAGCTCGCTCTAGTATCCGAGTTTAGTCCTGAGATATAGTTACAAAATGCGACCCATATATATACATATGAGTCGCGGACGTACCAAAACAAACCGCTGGCGACCGCTGGAAACGAGTTTCGTCATGGCTAGGCCGCTGGATCCCTCCCTGCTGAAAGGGGTCTTTTTCATGTACCAAAATTCGGCTAAGAGTTGTTTTGGTTTAAGCTCTCTGGGGTTGCCAGTCCCTTTGAGCTCTGCAGTTGGCCCTAATGGAAAAGAAGCAGCCTCGGATGAAAAATTGGATGAGCCCTCCGGCTCGTCTACCCAACCCAACCCCGACCCTTTCCAGTGCCAGCTGTGCCCAAGAAAATTTGGTACCAAGACGGGCCTCGGCGTGCACATGCGCCGCGCCCACTTAGACGAATTGGACCGACAGCAAGCACGAGTGGACGTAAAGGCAAGGTGGACAGACGAAGAGATGCACTAGATGGCTCGTCGAGAGGCCCAACTCACTCTGGAGGGTGATGTTCGTTTCATGAACGTTGCACTACTGGAGAGAACACCCAACAGGGCACTCGAAAGGCCAGAGACGCAAACAAACATACAAAGAAGCTGTCGCGCAGTACATCATAGAACTGCGCAACCGAGAGGTCGCCCAACCTGCGACCCCTCCTACTCCGCCACAACAGCAAGCGACGCCACCCGCCAGCCGACGCCAGCCACCAGAAGACACAATGCCGCCATCTCCGCCACCGCCAGACCCGACACAAGCAGAGCAACCCGACGTCGATGACCCGATCCTCGCTTTCCTGCGAGGTCTTCGAGCTCCACGAGACGAAAGCTACAAGTCCCAGCAACTAGTTGACATCGTCGCCAACGCCGCAGACATAGGGAAGGCCAGCACGCTCATCGAACTCTCTCGCTATCTAGACGAGATCTTCCCTCCGACCCCAGAACGCCCGCCAAACGCACCACCACCGCAACAACACCCGAATCGTACCGCCAGGCAGAAACGACGAGTAGCGTACGCCATCACTCAGCAACAATGGAAGAAACACCAGGGCCGATGTATCCGGACGATCCTCGATGGCCCCAACCACTCTGTCATGCCCCCACAACGGGTCATGGAGCCATACTGGACGAACGTAATGACCGCCCATGCGCACGCCACCCCTCCAACTGGTGAGGACAATCCAGATGTTCATGTAATATGGGCACCCATACCCGCCATAGAACTTCTCAACTATCGCGTCGCTCTCATCGGAGCGCCTGGGCCGGACGGAATCACTTCAAGACGCCGCTAATCCAAGTCAGTATCCTGAACCTGGTGCTATGGTGCGGACGACTTCCGCTACGACAGAGAGCTGCTGCCACAACGTTCCTCCCGAAGAAAAGCAACTCCGCAGAACCGGGAGAATTCAGACCGATCACCGTCCCCTCCGTCCTGGCCCGACAACTGCATTCAATCCTCGCAGCTCGTCTCACAAGGACCGTGAGACTCGACCCCCGCCAGCGGGCCTTTCAGCCAGCCGATGAATGTACAGATAACACGGTCTTACTGGACTTGCTGCTGAGAGACCAACACCGTAGATTTGCGTCTTGCTACGCCTCCCTTGGCGTTAGCAAAGGGTTGGATTCCGTTGCGCACAACGCCATATTCCGCACCCTGGAGACGTATGGGCTACCTTCCACGTTCGTGAGCTACGTCAGGAATGTGTATGAAGATTCCACCACAACGCTAAAAGGACCAGGATGGAGATCCCGCCCAATCAGGCCTAGAAGAGGAGTCAAACAAGGCGACCCACTATCTCCAATGTTGTTCAATCTCATAATAGATCAACTCCTGAAGAGATGCTTAACTACATCGGAGGGGCCATTGACAACATTCGCCTTAACGCCTTAGCGTTCGCCGATGACATCATTCTCGCCGCCCAGACACCAGCCGGTCTCCAACAACTGCTGAACATAACTGACACCCACTTGGACACCTGCGGCATGGCTGCCAAATATCTAACAGTCAGTATCAAGGCCCAAGCAAAAGAATAATGTCATCGAGTAATGATCGTTTACCATTGACGGCACATTGATCCCATTCTTCCGACGCTCTGACACCTGGAGATACCTCGGAGTAATGTTTAGCCCGGACAGACGAGTGAAGTATGAGCCTAACACAGACATCGCCCCAATGCTAGACCGCCTCACGCACGCGCCTCTTAAGCCACAACAACGACTATATGCGCTAAAAGTGTACTGCATCCCACGACTGTACCATAAACTCACACTAGGCCGTGTCATGCTGGGGTGCTTGAAGAAGACCGACAAATCAATCCGTCACGCAGTCAGAACATGGCTAAATCTGCCAAATGACACGCCTATTGCGTACTTCCACGCGATCGTTGAAGATGGGGGACTGGGAATCCCAGCAACTAGGTGGCAAGCTCCACTACTCCGACGCAACAAGTTGATGAATATAAACCTGCCACATATAGAAGATAGCGAAGCCACCAACTACTTCATTGCAAACGAGCTACAAAAGACCGAAGCCAGACTACAACAAAACAATGAACCAATCAGAACGGCTAACGACTTACAAAGATCATGGAAAATTAAACTGACGGAAATGGTGGATGGCGGAGGCCTGCGAACAGCCAGTGACGTACGAGTCTCACAGATGGATCCGAGAACCCACACGACTACTGACCGGCGAGACTTTATCGCCTGCGTGAAACTCCGCATCAATGCGCTGCCGACAAGATCACGAACAACACGACGGCGCCCAGAAATGGACAGAAGCTGTAGGGCCGGTTGTAACGGACCTGAGATTCTCAACCACGTTGTCTCACAATGCCCCCGGACCCACGAGATGGGAATCAAGAGGCATAATGCAATCTCCCACCACGTGAAGAGAAACTTAGAAAAGCAAGGCTACAACGTGATCGAGGAGGCCTGATCGACACAATGGGCACCCGCTGTCTAGTCCTTGAGGCCCAAGTGGTCACGGACTCCATACACCCAAACACAGCTCACAGATCGAAAGTTGTGAAATACTCAACACCAGCATTCAAGACAGCAGTGCTTGAAAAAACGAATGCCAGAAACATAGAGACCCTCTCCATAACTCTCAACTGGCGAGGCCTTTGGAGCAAAGAGCCGTACAACCAACTAACCAACGCTGCAGTAATAACGAAGAACGAAGCAGCTGTGCTGAGCACTCGAATCGCCCTGGGAAGCGCGATGTGCCATTCCCGCTTCAACAAGGACACACGCATATTTTGGCGCAGACCCCCCCCCCCCCCCCCCCCCCCCGGCCTTGAATGGAACCAAACAGAAGAGGGCACAGAGGGTACTACCTCCCCCTTTACAAGCTCCGCCGCCTGGAGCACCTTACCAAAGATGACAAGTCAGGCGATTCTGATTGACTGAGATTTGCTTTGCTATAATTTGCAGTAAGATTTCAACGTACTGTAACCTCGTCAAATAATTTCAATCCAAATTGAATAAATCATTTTTTTTTGGCGCACGTTATCAAAATACTATTATTCATCAGACCATTCAAATAATTATTTTTAATTTGTGTAGCCGTTTTCCGGTCATGCGTTTTTTCCAGACCGTCTGTTTCCATTTAATTGGTACAATGGTGTCGAAATGCGCATCGGAAAGTCATGTGTTAGTTAGAGTGCAATTTTTTTTTCGAAAAAAAAAATACAATAAAACACTAATTGATATAGAAAATTGACTCTTTCCCCAATAAAATGAATTTCCACGAATATTTGGATTTTTTTTCCAGCAGGTCAAAAAGTTTGTTAATTGAAATTGGCGATGGTATTTATTCAAATTCAACCTATCAAATGTATTTATTTTTTAGTTGAAATTGTTTAAAATCTTCCAAAAAGTTTAAAGCTGAAAAATAAACAAGTAGTTCACATTGGAATAATAATTAGCTCCCCAAAGTCAAAAACAAATACTTAAAAGCACGCCTTAAGCTCTTGAAACTGTTAAGACGCGACCCTCATTAATTCACATCCAGGGCCTCTCTGTAGCATTTCCATTACAGACAAAAGAAAAGTTTGTTTGTCTTCTCGTTGTCTTGAAATGCTCCGATGCATAGATCCAAAAATATACGTCAGTCTGCTTAAGCAAAAGTTCAACTGGAAGATGAAGGAATTATTTACCCTTCTTTGAGAACTTGTCGTGTTAATGCAGGCGTTAAACGTGAATAAGATTCTTTGGGAGATGCAAATATTCGTTTTGAGAAGAGGGATTATATTTCAATTTTCTTCAAATGCCAGGAAAATAAATTTTGATTGGTTTGACTCAAAAAACTCTGAATCAATATGCAAAAAAAAAAAGAAATTTCGCTAGTATTTACATCTAATAACGATTGTAAGCCATGAAACGTAATGGGAACATGTGCAATGAAACTGATTTATTCAACAAAAAAAAGCCTGAAGGCACGTTCCATTTCGCATCAGTAATATATTCCTGTTGCAAATGTATCTGGTTTTCCTTTACAATGCTCTACCAGACAGATTACATCGGTGTAGTTCTGAATGGAAAAATGATAGAAAAATTGGTTTTCATTTTACGTATTAGATAGAAATGCATGTTTTGAATTCTCATCAGCAATATCGTATTTATGAAAAAAACTCGTAATTGATTCCCATTTTTTTTTTTGCGAAACGAGCAAAAGCAAATTGCAAAACGCGGACGTCTTCCGTTCGGCGAGGGCTTGTTTGCTCTAAAAATAAATGGATTATGAAGATATCTAGTTCGGGATTGATTTTCCATTTGTTCTGATAAAAGGCAAACATCGTGCTTTCCAGAAATAGGAAAATTTAATTAAGAAATGCATTTCAATTCGAGTTCGGTAAAATGGTATCGAACCGTTGCCGATTTCGTGATTTAATAAAGTCAATAAAGAAACATTTTTCTGTCTTAAATTGGCTTTCAACGAGATGGTTTTCAGGATTTTAATTAATTTGAAAATGAACATCCTAATCATTGTAGGTACAAGATGAAAATTAATAAATGTGTCTCAACTTTCAAATATTAAATTTCTATTTAAAAGAGAAATGATACTATATTCTTTTATTATACATAGCAAGAACATTAGATATTTTTCCCAATACAAATAACCAAGGATTGAATAGAGATTCTAGTCCGAATAAGAAAAATGGTGGTTACAGGGCAGATAGTAATTATAATGGTAGTAGGCATGAAAGAAGCAATGATAGATATGATAGGAGTTCAGAAAGATACGATAGAAGTGTAAATAGTTATGATGAAGATAGAAGTAGAGACAGGTATGCTCGACGTGACTCTGGTTGGTATAGAGCAGATAGCTATGATAGAGATAGGGATAATGGATATGATACTAGTAGGAATATGACAGGGAAATAGGAAGATATGATAAAAGCACAAACAGGTATGATAGAAGTGGAGACAGGTATGATAGAAGTAGAGATAGGGGAAATAGAGAAGGAATAA